GCCATGAGGATGTCACATGGGCTGCAGCTGTGAGGTGATAGGGCCTCAAGTGGCCCACGGGTTGAGAACCACGGATTTATTTGCTCATTGCATCCATCCTGTGGCATCCAATTCCTTCCCCAGTAAATCTGATATTTTGTTTGGGGCGGGAGGGCGGGACGGGGACTCCTCAATGCATAGTAAATTCTGAGAGAATCTGTCTTCATAGAGCTTTGTGAGAGGAGACGATGTATGCTGGCCCTATAGCACACTTCAGTAATTTGCCCATTCTTTGTTCTTTTGCAGTTGACTATAAAGATATTCTAAAAAATAATAACTGAAGGACACATCACTTTTGAAAGGCTAAGATTTGTACTAGAAATGGGCAGGAGTGTTGTGCTGTGTGGTCTTCTAAGCTTGCTGTGGTCTATTCCTAAGCTTTGTTCTTAGCCAATGGGGGTGTGGGTAGGTTACGTTGAAACATATGTGAATCAAGAGATCTAGCTATATTTTCCAATTGTCTAAATTTATAATCTGTTCCTTATTATGAAATAAGAGTAGACCGTAATACTGCTGTTGTGGGAATGATTCTGTACAGCTGTCCCCACCATTGCACTGTAAGCACTGAAAGAATACATCTCCCAGGATTACATGTTACATTTCCTTTAGCTTCCATTGCATTATGATTGAACAAGTATCGGTAATAGTAGAGCAAAAGATAATTTTTAAGTTTACCTTCAGTTTTCTTTTTTCATGCTTTTCAGGAAAAAATGTTGAAATCTAGCTTTACTCACCTTGATTGTATTTGAAAGACCAATATAATATTTGTAAGCATTCATGCTGAAATCTATGAATAAGCATGAAACTTGATTATATTTCATAGCTGCAGAATGAAATCTGTTTTCTCTGCTATAGTATATATACTGCACTACCTCGCATGATATTCATGAAAAGTTACCAGCCTAGGCAAAAGAAAAAAAAAACTCCTTATCTACCCTCATGATGACAGCAAGGAAGAAACTTTATTCTTTTTCACCGAAGCATGTAAACTTATGCACTACTTATATATCGTTTGGGACAGCAAAACCATGTTGTTTGCATAAAGAAGGACCAATACAGACTAATCCAAAATTTTGGGCGGGATATACTGCTCCCCTTCTAAAACTGCTGCAAGCTCATTTAATGTGAAAACTAAAGAAAGAGAGAGCCAATAAGCAGCCCAGACAGACTCCCATAATGATGGCCATAGCTCAACTTTTCACCCTAACTGATCATATCTTTAACTCTGGCCACTCTTTGGCTCTGAAGGTTTATCAAAAGAGAGAGTAACTTAAAAACTATGCAAATCCTCACAAATTTATCCCAGAGACTCTCTCTCTTAATGGAATCAAAATCTGATTTCAGATCAACGAAGGCTGTATAAAACTTCCCCTCTTGGAGGAACAAAGTTTATAAATTGGGTGAGAGAGGGCAAAATAACTGTTGGTAGAGCAGTCCTTCTTGAAATTGGCTTGTTCCTCAACAAATAAATTACAGTTCTTTCCAGTCCTCTAATCTCCACAGGAGATACTTGGTATGGATATTAAAAACCATGTCTAAAAGGCTAATAGGTTGATAATTTCTAGGGTCATTTGTCACCTTGGGCGAGGTGGGGGGGCGCAATCCCTACATATTTTTATTAGTAAATAATTTTGCTAACACAAGGGCCCATCAAACAGTATAGTCCTTATAGATTTCTGCTGGGATAAAATCCTCCCCTTTATTACATTGGTTTTATCAAAATTCTGACTACCATGGTGGAGACTGTGGGCCACTCTGGATAAGGATAGCAGGTGAGGTCCATCGAGGTAGACCAAACCAAAGGGTTAATAGATGGATTATCATTGTACAAGGCACAAAAATGTCTCTCCAAAGCATGTCTGGGATAAGAGCGTCAAATTTTACGTTAATCTTGTGGTAGACCATTGCTGCCATCATCTAAAATAGAGGAGATTTTTGTTTGTGGCAGTGAATTCAAATTTCTTCCAAAGGACCTTTTGATGCAACTTTTTCTTATTTGGCATTTTTATAGTCGTTTCTAAGGATAGCTAATATCTTAATAGAATAAGAGGAACTATTATTTCTCAGAGCCCTTGCAATAATCTGAAACTGTTTTTTATAAACGGAAGCAGTCTAAGTCATGACAGATTCTCTTACCTTCTAAAGGATAAAAAAAATCTATTTTTTTAATTTTTTATGGTTGAGTCATCCTGTAATTTAAGTCTCAGTTTGTGTGTGCTTGTGATCAAAAATTAAGGTCCAAAAAGCTTATTCTTCAAAAGTTAACAAATCACTGGGTATGAGCTTCTCTCTACTTGAGGCTTTATTACTACTACTACTACTACTACTATCTAGTGCTTCTCATTAGATCTCAAATTGCTTCTCAATCTTTAATATATTTATCCACAGAACCTCTGCAAAGTTGGCAAATGTTAGAAACCCTATTTTTACGGATAGTGTCTCTGAATTAATTCCCTAAGTGACTTGCCAATGGTGATATAAGAAGTCTTTTGGTGGAGTAGGAAACTGAACTTGGGTCTCCCAAGTCGTAGGCTTGTGCCCTAATCACTGTACCAAATAACAGATTCCACTTAATATACCTTGAGTTTACACTTTCAAAATCAGGATTAAAACACAATCTGTCAAAATCCCTTTTGGAAAAAGTGGCTGACGGGCAGAAATTCACCTCCAGATCACTATCTGTAAAAGCCACTATAAAACTAGAGAAACAAGACCACCTTAAAATAGAAACTGCAATATAGTCTAACACATTGCCCCATCTAGAAGATGAGTGAAAAATGACCCTCCAGATCATTGCCATCTCTTCTATTCTCAGGCTGGGTCTACACTACTCGCCTGAATCGGCAGGTAGAAATCGACCTCTCGGGGATCGATTTATCGCGTCCCGTTGGGACGCGACAATCGATCCCCGAATCGACGCTCTTACTCCACCAGCGGAGGTGGGAGTAAGCGCCGTCGACAGGAAGCCGCGGAGGTCGATTTTGCCGGCGTCCTCACAGCAGGGTAAGTCGGCTGCGATACGTCTAATTCAGCTACGCTATTCACGTAGCTGAATTTGCGTATCTTAAATAGACTCCCCCCTGTAGTGTAGATGTAGCCAAAGTCTCCAACCAAAACCTATTTAAAATTACAGAAAATTTACAACCTGGAGTATTTCTTACCTTGTCCTTAGCGTGTCCGGGGGAAGTGAAGATCACACCCTATTAAATGAGGAGGGGGAAAACTAAAAAATTCCTTTTCATCAGAACTCGGTTGGTCATAAAAATTTCCCAAAAGAACAAAGATTGCTGATGAAAACTTTTCCGTAAGCAAGTCAATGAGAGATTCAAGCCCTACTCAGAAAGACACACTATAGAAAGGGAAGCTCAAAGGGGCATATGTATATTTAGGGCTAATGGAGTACATTTATTTGGGATAATGATACTAGAGGCTTGAAAATAGGGATTGCCTCGTGTTATTTACTAGTTATAACATTTAACTTAGAGATGAGCAGGGCAAGACCATTTGCAGGTTTACCCCTCTTTGCATGCTTAACACCCTCTTCAGGATTCAAATACAGATTCAAAGCCTGGTAAATCGGATTCATACTTAGAAACCAAGTTTCTTGGAGGAACACTAAATCAAATTGAGATAAATACTTACTGAAATCCAAATCCTGGGAGTTACTTTTAAGGTGGAATCCCTGTCAGGCCCATCTAGTCAATCCCCTTCCTTTTCTAGGGTCTCAGTTGAAAATTTGTTATGAAAAACTACACCATTGTTTTGTGATTAGGCCTAAATGTCCCAGGATAGTGATCTTTAACCAGGGCCAGCTCCAGGCACACTTTTTTTTTTTTTTTTTTTTTGGTTTGGCAAAAATGGTAGAGCTGGCCCTGTCTTCAACTGTCCTGCATGGTGCATAGGTCTTGAGTAAATGGGTTTGAGGTTGGGCAGTTTTGTTTCACCTGAGTAACAGGTTATAGTCCAACAGGATTTGCTTGGTGGCCTGGTCACTCTTTTTTTTGTTTGTTAAAAGGAACAAAGATTCTTTCCAGTTGCATTTCATAGCTTTTTCCTTTTGATCTTTTAAATCTGAAGATCTCTATAGTTAAGGAGAGGTTTCATATGACAGATTTTTCCTAACTGTCCACTGAAACTGGTACTATGCAAGCCATTTAAATTATAACCACTAACTTTCAGTTTTGGAAAGGTGGGCCTAAGACAAAGAATAATATAGAAGTAAAACTTGCTTTATATATTTATTTCTCTTTATTACCAGAAAACCATTTAGAGAAACTATGCCGTACAATTTCCCATTAAGTACCATATGTGTTCTGAATAGATCAGGCTGAATGACTTTTAAGTGAATATTTTATAAATCCATTGATTAAATCCGGTGCCTTTCCTGTGGCATGAGACTGAGATTTCAAACTGGAAATAGAGTTTTCTGTATAAATGCTTATCTATCTCTTATAAAATTCTGCAACTAGTAGTTTGGGACTTTACCTAAATGAAAGACTTTTCTCTTCCCGTGCCATACTGCCATGGCTGAGATCAGTGGAAAATGAGTAAATATTGTCCAGCGTACCTACTGCTATTATGGAAAGGTACTATTTTTTTTCTGTTTTTTTTTAAAGGTGAACTGAAAGCAGTATTTTAAAAAGTAGATAATGGATTCTTCACTGTGGCAAAATACCATTCCTAAACAGGCAGCAGCATACTAAGGCGGCTACAGTCCAATCAGTAGAGCAAATAATTAGCAGCTACACCATTCCTGGGTTCTAATTACATCTGATTCACTCTGACTTTGTGCAGTTTCCTTGAGTGTCAGCCCACTTAGCAAGAGGGAGGAAAAGGTAATCCGAAGACCATACTGAAAGCTAGAGGCTGTCACGGAAATTTCATATATAAATGTGAACAAAACAAGGATGTAGATGAACATAAAATAAACGTAAGTCTCTCTCCTGTTTTTCAATTACTAGCTTGAACAGATGGAACTCGAAGTTCGAGAAATCCCCGCCCAAAGCCGAGGAATGTATAGCAGTAGAATGAGGAGCTACAAACAAGAAATGGGAAAACTTGAAGCGGATTTTGTGAGTATATTTTACATATGATAAAGGACGGCATTTAAGAAGAAACTTACCTTAGTGTAACTGTGTTTCAGAATGAAGTAATCACTTTCTTCCATTTCCCCAACTTTCTCCAATCAACTCCACGTGGGCAGACTTTGGGGGAGAGAATAGTCTTAACTCATGCAAGGGGGGAAGGAGCTGTCCTCTCCCTGTCCACAAATGCAATAATACCTGCGCAGAGTGCTTATATGGGGAAGAACCTCCCTAATCGTTTGCTAGTCTGCAGTCCCAGTTAAACTCAAGACTACTTGCTCCTATCATTGTGCCCCCCACTTCTTCCACCCCCCCATCTCTCTGTCCACACTCTTCTAGCCCTGTTTCTTGGCAAGGACTCAATAGCAGACCATTGTACTTATACTGTGTGAAGTCACTTAATTTTACAGGGTATTATGAGACTAGTATGAAGGACCATGTTTATAAGTTACCAGTTATAAACTACACTTATGAAATGAATCCCAAGTTCACTTCATTACTCAATATCCATGATTTCTTTTCCTTGATGTTTGGATACTCATTGGCTGTTTTTCAAATCAGTTATCCTCAGTGGATCTTTCAGGTACCAAATGCAAACTAGCATGGTTCTCCTGTCTGTGTGCTTGTATAGCCTGCAAACCACCGGTCCTGTTTCTTTTGACTTTGAAATAGCGAATGGATTTGTGTACACACAAAATTGCTTCTAAAAGGACTGACTGAAGACTTCAAATCCATCTGCTATTTCTTTCTGGGTGTAAGTAGTACATGTGACATGATAGGGTAAGCAGCTTAATGCTCCATTGCATCCCAAGGATAGAGCACCAGACTGACAGAGAGTGTTATCTGTAGTTGGGGAGTGAACGTTACTATGTATGTTGAGAACCCCCTATGTCCCCATGGAAACTCCTTGCCCCTTTCTTACCGCCTGCCATGCTCTAAATAGCTAAGAGAAGGGAGATTAGCCATGTCACCTTCACAGGGAGAAGAAAAGGAGAAACTGGAATTGGGTAGGAGGTGAGGGCCCAGTGAGAACAGACAGGGATCTGTATAATGATGAAACAGGGTTGCTTGGGGGAAGAGAAGAAATGAGAGGGGCCTATGACTGAGCAATAGAAAATAAGTGATGGAAGAGCCTGGGATGGGGATGAGGGAATGCAAACAGCGCAGAGAGAGAAGAAAAGAGGGAATAGATCGAAGTGATCGAAAAAACCAAGCAAGATATTTACCAGAAAAATGGAGGAAAAGAGTAAAGGATGGAAAAGAGAATGAAAAAAGCAATAGTTATGATTAGAAGTACGTTACGAGAGCTGAATGGTTCAGTTCACTGACGCCACTGTAGCTAAGGTGACACAAGCATTTGTGTTCTAATACTTGTTTTCAGACACTGATAATTTTCACAAGTTTTTACTTACCGGGCTGAGATTCCTTCCGGCTTGCTCTTTACCCAAAGGTGAAGTTTCTGGGAAAGTTTACGTAACAGTGGTTTGGCTGTGCGTTCAAGGAGACAAGGGAAGAAAATATGGCATAAACTATCATGGCTTTTTGAGCTGCTCTAATAGTATAGTGACTGGGGGAAAGCAGCTGAAAATTTTCATTGAAGTGGAAATGCCTTTTGAATACTCTGGTGAAAATCATCTTGACTGAGTTGTGATCTGTTGGAAACTCAACCTGGATCCCATTTACGTTGGCTACTCCTACCCTTCCTTACTGTGTGAAGGAAAGTGAAGCTGTAAGTGGGCGTTTATCAATCAGCAGAATACTGGGGCTAGAGCCTAGTACTTCATTTTGGGACTAAACCAAAGGTGAGCAAACTACGGCCTGCGGGACTGTCCTGCCCGGCCCTTGAACTCCAGGTTGGGGAAGCTTGCCCCGGCCCCTCCCCCACTGTCCCTCCTTCCCCACCGCCTCAGCTCGCCACACCGCCAGCGCTCTGGGCGGCGGGGCTGCGCGCTCCTGCAGGGCAGTGTTGCAGCGTGTCTGGCACTGGCTGGGAGGTGCGGCTGCCAGACATGATGCTTTGAGTGGCATGGTAAGGGGGCTGGGGAGTTGGATAAGGGGCAAGGGGTCCTGTGGTGGAGTCAGGGGACAAGGAGCAGGGGGCAGTTGGATGGGGCGGAGGTTCTGGCGGGGGGGCAGTCGGGTCGGGGAACAGGAGGGGTTGGATAGGCCTGGGAGTCCTAGGGGGCCTCTTAGGGGGCGGGGGTGTGGCTAGGGGTTGGGGAAGTCAGGGGACAGGAAGCAGGGGGGGTTGGGTAGGGGGTGGAGTCTCAGGGGAGTGGTTAGGGTCGGGGGGGTCTTGGGAGGGGGCGGTCAGGGGACAAGGAGCAGGGGGGGTTGGATGGGTCGGAGGTTCTGAGGGGGGCAGTCGGGGTCGGAAGTGGGAGGGGTCGGATTGGGGGCGGGGGCCAGGCTGTTTGGGGAGGCACAGCCTTCCCTACCCGGCCCTCCATACAGTTTTGCAACCCCAATGTGGCCCTCAGGCCAAAAAGTTTGCCTACCTGTGGACTAAACACAGAGGCTTAGAAGATTTTGTCTTTTTTTTTTTTTTTAAACTGAGAGGACTTTAAACCAAAGCACGAGTCTGTCTTAATCAGTTCTCTTCCATGTTTTGAAATGTAATGATTATAGCTGTGGATGGCCCTCTCTTGGCCACTTACCTATGTAATTTAAGTAGAAGAATGTGAAAGCTGATTTAAGACTAATACTGTCTCTTCAAAGTGAATTGCATAAAGCATCTGGATCAGCACTTCTCTCAAACTTTAAAATGAATGACATAAATGGGACTGCAAGTTTAATTTTATACACATTGTAAGGAAAAAAATCTATTCTGTCAAGTTTTTTGTATGCCTGACAGAGTCCTGAAGACTTACCCCAGCTCAAGCAGTTATTGAAACCAACGTTTCGGCAATATTCTTAAAACTTAAGAACAGGATGCATTAATTCTGCAGACGGTTAGATCCTTCATTTGTAAAGGAGAGGGCATTTAGGTTGAGTGGTGGCAGACTGTTTCCAGATGGAAAGTCCGCTTGCATTTAGGTTGTGCTGGCCAAAGTGGCGAGAGACTGGGTTGACATCTTTACCTCATTGTATGACGTTGTCATATGGTCATTGGGCATCTTGATGATTGGATGATATTTCTTGTAAACATTCATAAATATTCTACACTTGCTAAGTCTTGAAGTATATTTTGACATTATATTAATCTTTTAACCTAGTGCCGTCACACTCTGAAAGGTGACTCTAAAAACGGCCTTGCAGGGTTTTGTTAATTGTGCCTCATAAGCTAACTTCCAGATCAGATATGAACAGGTCACAAATAGATGGGTTTTTTTTTTCTTGGTGCCAGCCTTGCTAGCTCAATCCGAGCTTTCAGAATCTGACTGTTCTTTCCCACACATCACTGCTATAAAGATCATGCAGTCCGAATTAATCTTCCATACACATCGGTGCAGTTTTAAATTCAGATTATGCCCCTAGAAATCCCTGCGCAACTTCATAGTTTTCAGTAGGATTGCCCAGGTGTACCTGATAGCTCTGTAATTGGAATAAATGGTGCCCAAGAAGGAATAGCGTCTAACTCACTCACTCTTGGCTGTGTCAGCTCTGCAGGACTAATGAAATTTAAAAACAAGTTATTTTTGTCATTAAAGTAAGCAGATTCCATGGGACTCTGAATAGATACGGGGGTCTTTTATTAGTCACATCTCACAGTGTAAGAAATTCCAGCTATTGAGGGTCTGATTCCGATACCATGACTCGGGTTGCACAGCACCTTATTCCTAAGGGATCCCATTAATTTCAAGTAAGTTCCTTACTTGTGTAGTAGGATACTATTCCTCATGAGTGAGGACATGAGAAGCTGGTCCATAAAAGGTCAAGCTTATTAAAGTTTCATACTACTAAAAATGCCATCAGTAAACTCTTACATAGCCCTTTTATGTGGATACAAGTAATGTAGGTAAACTTTAGTTTTAATAGCTCTTTTTAAAAAATGAAATACTCGCTAAGATGTATCTACTAGGAGTGAGCCTTTACTGCTGTTGAATCTAAAGGTAATATAAAATATCACTACTTGCTTATATTGTGGAATGTGCTTGCAGTTTATGTATGCCATGGTAAGGGCTCTATCTTGTGGCGAAATGTGGAGTTGCAAACTGCTTGTTTTTGCTTTGCAGAAAATCTCTTAACTAAAGCCCTGGGGCCATCTCTTAAAGGAACACTCAACTTGAAATCCACTCACTTACAAGTGGCTTCAGTTACTATACCTGCCTCTCAGTCCCTCTGCCACTACCTATGGTTTTACAGTTGCATTTGTTAAATGTTTTTTCTCTCTCTGGATGCTGTGTGAAGGACCCACCTGAATAGTAACAACAGACTATGACTGACTTTGTTATCAAATGCTCAAAAGTCTAAAAGTGAAAAAATGTGTTTTTCTGTCATCTTTTCGTTATAGTGATCTTAGGAGCTGTTGTTTGTCTACCATTATGCCCTCAGGATTGGATTGAGACAAAACTTTAATGGACAAAACTTTGGACTATTGCCTCTAATGTTGTATCTTGTCTGTGGGTAAACAGAGCAGGGTCATGAGCTTTCATTTCAGAATGTTCCAAAGGTTAACTTAAATATTTTTTTTCCTCCACCCAGGAAGTCTATATGTGCCTGTTATGTAATTTTTATTTTTTCTTACTGCCCACATTGCCTTCACACGTGCATTTTCCAATACTGGCTGCATGTACTGGAAAACACTTTCCTTCTACTTGCAGTGCCAAAGTTGAGCTAACCACCCCAAACTGTTCTATGACTGTTGGCGCCTTCATGAAATAAATATAGCAGGTCTCCTTGCTAAATGAAAGACTCCATTCCCATTCAGCACCAAATAACAGGCAGAGCTGCAAGACACCTCACTTAACTGAGAGGCACTTTAACTGGAAGTTTAGTGGACAGTATTCTACATAAAGAACACTTCTCTGTAAGAATATAAATAGTTG